AATTGAATTTTAAATATTACCTGTGTTCTAAATAACATCCCTGAATTTACAAATTGTAGTGTTTATAATTTTTCTAAGATCCTGATATAAATATATGATTATTAACATAACAATATTTTTGAGTACCATCTTACATATGACATCTTTTCACATGACAGTGGTACTATTTATCCAACATTGGGTGTGATACAATGGGAGATTTAAAGAGAGCTAGTATTTTAGTATTTTTGACAATATCAAATACATTCAGAGTATTCACTAAATTTTCCCTCAGAGCCCATTATGTACAAAGCCTTATGCTAGATGATGTGGGATTACCTTTATTCTTAAATGGTACTGCTCTGGCAGTGATTGTAAACACTACTACTTACCCAGCTACTTGAAAAAAAAAACATGCTTTATCATTATCCAACTAGTTATAAAAGTAATAAATACTCATTTCAAAAAAATGAAAGAAAATACAGTTAAAGAAAGAAAAGATGACTAACAATTTTTCATTCAGAGATAACTATATAGTTATTTTGGAAGATAACTCCCTAAATTTGTTTTCTATGATATATCTACTGATTGATTTTTAAGTAGCCTGTCATACAATTTATACTATTTTGTAACTATTTTTAAAACTGCATCTATCACAGTCATGTTTGGATGTGCTATAACTTACTTAATCCCCTAATGATTTATGTTACCATTTTTTTGGATGCAAAAACAATACTACAATGTATATTCTTTGCACACGTACCCAATTACTTGCTTTAAATAAATTCTTAGGGGTACAAGTGCTAGGCATGGACATTTTTAAATGACACATAATACCATACTGCAAATCCTCACATCACCTTTACTTAATAGCTACTAAAAAAAAATTCCTGGCGTACAGCAGTTGCTTGAATGACAACTGAAGAATCAACAATGAATGAAAGAAGGTCATACTTGGAGTCCCTTCATTTCTACTTACAGATAATGCCTTTAGTTTTAACCTATAGCAAGCAACACGGTGGGGTAGAAAGATTCAAAGATGTGAGTTGCAGACTCAGCTCTGTGTATCCTCAAATCACTTTAGCCCTCTTTTCTGATTTATATATATTAATTCCTGTGGCTATTGAGAAAATTAAATATAGATATGTAAAGTCAATCTGAATATCACATGGTTATATTAATCCATAATATGGTTATATTAATCCAGTGCCTTAAATCTAGTGAAATTTAAAGGCTGCTAGCCTAACTTACCTCACAATTTCAAACCAGCCTTGCTATTCTCCTCATTTTGATCTTATTCTCCAATTTCAGTAATCAGACTCCTGTACCTTTTCCTTATACCTCTTCACTACTTAGTTCCAGTATAAATGGAATGTGATTCCACCTCTGACCCCCGAATCCCTGCTATATAGAACTCTTCCACTGCCCAATACTTCCTACCTTCACAATGTGATCTCAGCCTGTAAAGACTTCTCTGCCTTTTCCTGGTGCCTACCCTCCTTTGGTTCTGTAATCAAAACCAGTCTTTGTCTGACTTATCTGAATATCACCAATTTTCATTTACAACATCAATGATCAGCAACAACTAAACTCAAAATGTCCTGCTGCTAGAGATAACACAACATTTTAATAAGGTTAGTAAACATGTAAATATGAACTAGAATCAAATTTCTTATCTTCTTATCTAATCAAATGGCGTTCCAAACAGCCATTTCTAGCTATATCATCCACTCATCCCTTCAGAAACCTTATTATCTAATCAAATGGGGATACTGATCTCTTCTGATTCTGCCTAACTAACCGTATCTTTGCTCAGAAAGTTTTCCATTTAGAAAAACTCCAAATTTTTGTCTCCAAATTTAATTTTTCCAAACCCTTACCAAAATAACACTTCATCTATGAACTTTTTCTGATTACTGTATCCTGAGTAACTTCTTCAGAATTCTCATAGTCCTCTGCTGAACATATTTTATGGATCTTTGTCCAATATGGTAGCTAGCAGCCACATGTGGCAATTGAGCACCTCAAATGTAGCCCATCTAGTTTAAGATTAGTATGAAAAAGAATGTAAAATATCTCATTAGTTTTTATACTGATTACACATTACAACAGTTTTTGATATACTGGATTAAATATGCTAATAAAATTAATTTCATCTGCATCCTTTTACTTTTTAATGTGAAATTCAAAATTATGTATTTCTATTAGACAGTGTGTTTTTTTTTAAATTGAATTTACTGGGGTGACTGGAAGTGCTGCTTTCAACAGAGCCCCTGCATAGTTTTACCAAGCTGTTTTTTGCAATAGAGGATCTGTCAAGGGGTAAGATAGGCTAAAATCAAGACCAAACTACACTCACCACACACTGTGAAGGAAGCCTAAGCATCTGCTCAAGGAAAAAGAACCTGTTGCTTCAATGAAAGATCCTTTCCCTCACCACAAACTGTAAGTTCTGTGAGTTCAGAAAAGGGCATACCTTTCTTTAAGTTTCACAGGCATTATATGTGCTAACAGTAGCCGAGAGGGGAACCATGTCTTACTCATGTTCTGTCAAATACTAGTCACTGAAAGTAGCTGAGTGAAGAAATGAATGAGTACCCAACTCTATTACCTTTTTCAGGCACAACTCTTATCAATTGATGAGAATATTTGACACTTTATCTGAGTAGAGAATACAGCTTTCGCTAGTGCCCATCACAAACCAAATTTATTGTTTAACCTCCGAACTCAAATTTTTGTATCTCTTCCAGATATTATAGCAAGAAATCAAAAATTAATAGTGATTATATATTTTTCTTTTATATCTTTATACTTCTAAATAAGCACTTGCTAATTCATACAATATAAAAATACTTACTATATGTTTACATTTTTAAAAGATTAGAAACAATATAAATAATATTAAAGAATCCTTAATTTTTTTCCAACAAACCTGACTGGATTTCTCTTCTTGTCTCAGAATACTTGATCTTGGGAGATTTCACAATTTTGGAAGGACCTGAGTCTACTGTCCTTACTCTTCCTTTGGAACACAAGTCTGTGTTATGTTGAACATTATTTTTCTTCCATTTTGTATTTTTTGTTATAAATTCTTCACTATTTTTCTTGGAACTTATTTTTGAATCTACCTTCTTCGATTTGCAGATTTTCGTTTTCTGGATTATGTCCAAGTTATCTAAATTGTTTTTATTTCCAGAATCTTTTTGGTTAATTTTCTTGGTTTCTTTCTTTTTCTCCTCAAGTAGATTTTTTGACTCTATTTCATTTTTCTGGGTTTTTTTCTTTATCTCCTTCTGGTTCAAATCTTTGTTGTCTTCACCAGAGAGATCTGTATCAGAATCTGAAAGGTCATAAAAACGTTTCAAGTCCTCTGTAGTGCTATGGTTGATTGGGCGTCCTCTTTTATCCACAGAGTAATTCAGCTTGAACTTTTTGTCATAAAACATGGCTCGAAATCTCTTGTCAATTTTGACTTTTCGTTCCTTTTCTGGCATTTCCCAAAATCTTGGGTCCTTTGTAACCCGCTTAAACCGCTGGTCATTCATAACTTCTTGTTTAAATGCCATTTTTAAATGCCTGACTGAACAAATACTTGAAGAAACTGAATACTGAAAAATAAAACAAATGTTACAGTAAAGAAGAGGTAGTAATATAATTAAATAAGATGTTTTGGGAAAAATATTAATTCACAATATAGTTTAAGTTAAACGCAAATAAAAGTAATGAGTCTAATTTCATTTAGAACTTACTGTGAGTCACCTGCAGAAAACCAAAAACTATCAGATTATCGTGTTTCGGTTACAGAACATTCAAAGAAATGAATTTAAGGCAAAACCAAGCAGAATTCTAGGGATAATGCTTACTAGCCAACTGCACTCAGTTTCTGTATTTGTTTGCATACCTGTATGCATTACAAGTTAAAAGGTAATTAAGAATCCCCAAGCCTCAACTGGTCTAATTTTTTCCTTCACAATCTGGTCCTTCTGTTAATTCTTACCTCATGCTAGCTCAAACAGCCTTTAATTCTAAAAGACTAGTCTCATAATAAAACAGACCAAAATCAAGTCAGATGTAGCTCACACGTTTCTCTTTTTAGATCCAACCATCCTCCAAGAAGCAGATAAAGTCTCACTCTAGTCGATAAGTATCGCATCTTCCTATCATTTATTATTCTAGAAATGACCAAGGCTCAAATGGGCTGATTCCCACCCCCAAACATCCTGGGATACGTATGTACATAATTAGTACTGTTTCTTGAAAATAGTCACTTAATGGTTTAGTATCTCTAAATCTGATTTTTGCAGAGTCAAAAGTCGCCGATTATTAGGAGCAAAAAGTAACTAATCAAACAGGGTCGTGGTACTTTGTTTCAAAAGCAAGGCTTGACGATGAGGCTGTATTTTTTTTCTTTAAAATTGAAAACAATTTTATACACCAAGAAAAACCAACGGGTTAAGTAAACTGCTTGCACATCAAAAAGTATTAATCATGGCGTGTCAGGTAATATTCCAAGAGTTTTAGATGTGTTAAAGCATTTAACCCTCCGAACAGCCTTACGAGGTAGGGACCATCTCATCCCAACTACCAAAGGCAACGCACATATACGTTTAAAACTAAAGTACTAAAAAAAGTCAGATATTCAGAGACTGGAAGGCGACCTTACCTCACCTCCGACGCTAGCCCTCATCTTCGCAGACCACCCTCCCCTTTTACACACCCTCTAAAGTGAGGAAGGCCAGAGTGGTCCCGGAAGGTCACCCCAACTCCCAAACCTCAGAACGCTGCTATTGAACTGAGGTCCCTCGAAATGACCCTAATAAGGGTCAATAAGGTACAAACAATGAATCCAGAAAGGCAAAGAGAGAGGGTGCAACACTCACGATCCGCGTTAGAAACTGGTTCAGCCCCCTTCACACACTTTGTAGAATCTGGCGCTCCTAGCAGCCCTCTCCGAGTCTCACGTGGGACGGCACCCACAATCCTCCGCGTGACGCTCCCGCGGCAACGGTACGCGAAAAGGGCCAAACTCCTTCCGCTTTCTCCTGGCTGAGAACTTGAGCAGTCGCCGAATCCACGGCGGCGCATGCGCACGGTAGGTAGACCGTCCAGAGGCTTCTGAAAAGATGCTGTTGGCTAGGCTGTGGCTTGAGTGGCGCGGACCTCAGGCGGCGAGGGTCTTGGGTAAGAACCTTGGAGTCAGAAAGGTTACCTCTGGCATCTCTTCGCCGGGCAGCGCGTCGTCCAGAGCCCTAAATATTTTCGACCGGGGTTTGAAGAGGAAGCAGAAGAACTGGGCGGCCCGGCAGCCCGACCCTACGAAGTTTGACTATGTGAGGGAGGAGGTGAGTCCGCGGGGCAGCGGAGGAGGGCGACGAGGAGCCTCGGCTTCGGGTATCGGGGCTCCGGCCAGGCTCCCACGGACTTCACCTCGCGATGTGTCCTTGAGAAGCGCCCTTCCTTTCTGGGCCCCTTTTGCTCGGATATTTGTAAGGTGCCATTCATTCGTTTCCTCCCTCCCTTCTTTCTCCTTCCTTCCTACCTACCTTCTTACCTTACTATGTCCAGGGCAGAGTAGACCGCTGCCTTCTTGAGGTTTCATTCTTGTGGGAGGTGAGATAGTGGACAAAAAAAGATGAGGATGAAGCCAGTGCAACAAACACTGACTGAGCTTCTACTTCGGACAGAGCTCTGTGAAAGCCCTGGCCTGATCAGATGATTGGCTCTGTTCTTAGGGTTCATTATGCCTGTAATCCTGGATTACAGTTTGACCGTGGCATGGCCAGTATACAGACCAGAAGTAAAGTATATGAGAGTTTTCTTTATAATATTAGGCATGGTATACAGAGTGGACTCTGGGAAAGGATTTCTGCTATACCTCCTTCCCCCATCTCCCTGCAAAGCAGAAACACTATGTCCTGAATTTTCAGGTTCTACTAGAAACTCCGGGGTGTTTCTGAGAGAGTGAGTAGAATGGGGGGAATACTAGGCTCCCACATCTACTCCTGCCAGATGAAGCTGGCCTAGCAAAAGGAGGCACCTACCATATGACCTCTTTTAAATTAAGGTGGAACTGGGGAGGGGATGGGAAGTGCAGTGTCTTCAGATTTGCTGACCTTTTCTAATTGACAAATACTGCCCATAAAAGTTGTTCACTTATATAGGAATTCCACAAAATTTATAAATAGTCATCAAATAATAGAGTTTTTAAAAAATATTTTATTGATTTATCTTTAGAGAGGAAGGGAAGGAGAGAAGTAGAGAAATATCAATGTATTGTTGCCTCTCATGAGTCCCCTGCTGGGAACTGGCCTGCAACCTAGGCAGGTGCCCTGACTGGGAATCGAACCGCGATGGTGTGGTTCGCAGGCCCGCTCTCAATCCACTGAGCTACACCAGCCAGGGCCAAATAATGGAGTTTTTAACTAAGTGATTAAGTTTAAACATTGATCTGTAGTACACCCCAGCTAATTAAATAATTTTTTACTTTTATATACTTCATGCTAATATTTGTGGATAGTAATATACCTGTTATGTTCCCATTGATTTTCATCCTTGTGCTTTTTATAGCACATGGAATGTTAAGGCCATTTATACATATGGACATATACACACATGTAAACATACATACAGAGAGGAAAAATGGAGATATGTAGAATATGTCTGGTTTTGATTTCCTTTAAATTGACTTCTGAAGTAATTTGCTGCAGTTTTTTTCCCTGGGATATTTTTGTTTCATATGTTCCTATTTAGAATTTGAAAAGAAATTACTGTGGTCACATTGAAAAGGGGATAAAGGGAAATACTTACAAATATGTTGAAACATAAATAACCTATAGGTTGTTGAATACAGGGAAAAGAGTGTGATTTCTCTGTTAAACGTACTCATCTTAATTTGTGTACATCATTGTCTCTTACAATCCTTTAGGTTGGCAGCAGGATTGCAGACCGTGTATATGATATAGCCAGGTAGGTGATGATAAATACATAACTTCAAAATACAATCAACTTTGGAGACTAGAGAAATTAGATGACGAGAGTTCAATATCTGGAGTGGCAGAATCTGGATGAATTTGTTACCAGGGTTAGTGATTTTAATACCTCTATGAGTGTCTTGTCTTCATGTCTGGAAGAACAAGTGTTCTTCACTGTTGTCTACAGCAAGAATGAATGGAAGCACATGCTTAGCTTCGCTCCAAACCTGAGTGACTGATCCACTTGATTTAGCCAAAAGCCGGTAATGGAAAGATAGCTCCAAAAATGGAGATAAAGAATTGACTGCATGTAAATTTTTACTGTTTACTAAACCTGGCTTTCAAAGTTTAACTAAAATTAATAACAGAATCTCTGACCATCTAAGCAAAGGAAAGTCTGTTTCCCAGTTAGGCTATAAGAGACTTTGGTGATTTTATCTTAAGTATTCTTAATGTCAGTAAGTGTTCTATGATAATTATATAAAGGCAGATTTGAGAAATGAACACTTCAAGTAATTATAAAAACCTTAATGGATTTATTGCTCTGTATTAGGCTTAAGGAAAGCTTTACAGATTCAAATTTATAACTACATAGTGAAAACCACAGTTAAATAATAGCTTTGTGTAGAATTGCTCTGTGATGTTAGTAAATCACTTTTTTGTTTTTTTTAAAAAAGATACCCATTAGACCAATAACGGGTGAATTTATTACATTTGTCTAAAAAGGGGGAATTTTGTAAAATCATAGACTCTTTCAAGCATATTTTAGATATCTCCTTGCTACTTAAAGCTTTGGTATGATTTAATTTCATAAAGTTAGAACAAAAAGCTTCTTCATGCAAATAATTGCCCCTATTTCATCTGTTTCATTAGTCTATTATTTAAAGATCTAAATACCTAATTTTCTATACTGTAGTCACTTATTGGCCTGGATTTTAGGCCATCTATGATCTAATAAATAGAACAAATTCTCCAATTCAGTTTGAATTTTATAATTTTTTTAATGTCATACTAATGAAAAAACATGGTCTGTGGAGAAAACTGCAGTAATAACCAAAAGCGTGTCTTAAACTAACAGTAACTCTTTGGAATTAAATTATTTAAAACACCATTCTAAATGTCCTTGTACTAATTTGTCTATTATTAGAAAGAGTAGTTTATATTGCAGTACTGATCTTATGATTTTTAAAAACTAACCCCACAGATTATTAAATGTTTTATTTGTGTTATCCGAGGCTCACTTAATATTGCTTTAAATCAATGGTCATAATAACTTTGTGAGCATTGTACTGAGCTAAATACTTTATATGCGCTATTTCCTAAAATTTTCAAACTAACTCTGAGGGAGATGATAACTTTTACATTTTGTGGTTGGAGAAACTGAGGTACAGCAAGATTAAATCAGTTGTCTCTGGTCACAATGGCAGTAAATTGCAGGCCCAGAATTCTAATCCACGTCAATCTGATTGCGAAGTCTGTGTACTTTATGGTGCCACACCACCTGTATCACAATTAAGATAGATGGTGTTAGGTAAATAAATGGTTCTTTCTCACCAGTGGTTTTCCAGTTGTGTACTGGTGTTATAGATGGAGACGGGGTCTAGTCTATTGGTGGTTGTGAATAAAGAATTGAACAGACTGCACAGAGTTAAACGAAGCAAGAAGAGAAGCAACCAAGATTTATTAAGTACACTTCCTAAGATATGGGAGTGGGCCACCTCTGATCAGAGAATGCCCCCCTTCTGCCAAAAGGGTGCAGGCTTTATTGGGTCCCATAGTTCTCCTTGATGGCACACACCGGGGCAGGGGCCAGGTAGGGGTGGAGGTTGCAACACTAATATAGGATAACAAGGCACATAGCTGTCTACTGAAGCTCTGGTGTGCCAGTGTGGCTCCTTGCCAAGTGTCTCAAGGTGATTCTCAGAAATCAGGATGCTGAGTGACTGACTACAGCTGCAGTGTCTCAGAACTTCCTCATTCCTATTCTATCTCCTGCCTCACTGGTGTTCTTTATTTTTGAAATAGGTGTTTAAAAACCTGAGAAGGTTTTTTGGTTCCAACATGAAAAGTGTTATTAGTGGATAAAATTCTAAGTTTTCTTGCCACAAATTTTTTATAAACTTATGGCCTACAAATTAGATGTGTGTACTGATTAGTATGATGTGATACATTTAGAGGAGACAGCATAGCACAGGGGATAATGGTTCTGGTTCAGGATTCAAACTGAATTCAAATTCTGATTGCTGCTTTTTAGTTGAGTGACTTTGTGTTGACTTAACTCTCAACACTTAGCATACTGCTAAACCTGGTAAGATTGCAATAAAAGTAAACTATTATTTAGTTGGCATTTTGTTTTTAGTTTATTGATATTAACATGATATTTTGTGGTATTTTACATGACAATATCTAAGTTATCTGCTGCCTTAGCAAATTTGAGAAGTAGTAATAATTAATACATTCCCGATAGGTGGAATATTTTCATGTTAACTTCTTTCTTTATCGGTATATATTACCAAATTAAAATACCTCCCTAAATCTGTTCTTGAATCTATGTCATGGAACAACTGTTTGGAAGGCCAGTTGACTGAGTTCCTGTGAATGGCTAGACCAGAGAGACTTTCTCTGTATGGTGTGTTTGCTGGTACATATAACTTGGAAGGCAGAAAAGAGAGATAATAAAACTTTTTAAAAGTTGCATTCACTTTCAAATTAGTTGTTAGTAAATTATAAGAATAATGAGATCTTAATAATTATTTTATAGACTGTATTGTTACAGACAAAACATAACTTCTGTGTTTGTTTTTTTAGGGATTTTCCCCTTGCTTTGGATGTCGGTTGTGGAAGAGGTTATATAGCACAATATTTGAATAAGGTATATCTATTCGATAATTCAGTTTACTTTGAGAAATAACATAGGTTAACTTTAAGGAAGGTATTTCTTAATCTGTTATATTTGGATTATATCAGAAGCACTAATTTTTTAGGTGGTTGAACCAATGGTTATTTTGTGTTCCCTCTTATTTTTCCTTAAAGTGGTTTTTCTTTACCTTGAATCTATTTTATACAGTGTTCTCACTGATAGTTTCTTTAAATATATATGAGATGCATATCTCTTTATTCCTGTTTTGTTCAAATGTTTTTAATAATTCACAATAAACAGAGGGGCATTCATTTGGAAATGTGATTAAGCTAATTTTTAGATAGGAAAAATACTAATTCCAGTGTGATAAGTAGCCGTTATTAATGCTTATTCCATTTTATTTTGTATTTTCTAATTCAAACCATAAAAACATTCATTTATTGTTTTAGCCGCTGTATATAGTGCACTCTGATGGACACAGGTTAAAGTGGGGTTTCTATATAAATCTACCTAGAAAAAACACACCCTTGGTCAGAGCTAAGTTAGGGGTATGTGTGAGGCTTCCAGAATACTGCTGTTGGTAATAGTAAATGCCACAGAAGTTGTGCAGTTATTAAACTGTAACAGGAGTTAAGCAAGGGGAAAAATCAGTGGGATTCAGTGGTCAAAGACTTCTGAAAGGGTACAGAATCTGACCTGGGATTTGGAAGAAACTGAATTGGTATTTCATAGGCATTGGAAGTAAAGGCGTGGCAGGAGGCATGTCTTTACAGAGGTAGAATGCTGACGGTGTGATATAATGATACTTAAGGATGATTAATTTCAGAATGGTATGTAAGAAGGATTGAAGAAAGGAGAGGATAAAGAAAGACCAGTTGGAGGGCTGTGTTAAAGGCAGTGCAGACATAAGAGAAAGACCTTATGTTTGCACATGGAGGCAGAAAGATACAAGGAAGGGATGTATGTGAGAGACCCGATAGAATCCACAGAACCTGATGACTGATCAGATGTGGTGGGCATAGCAAATATTCTAGTTGCTCAGTCTAAAAGACTTTTTCCTTGATTCCTCTTTTGTCCTTCCCTTCCATGTCAAATCCATCAGCAAATTTTATCTGAATTTGAAAATATATCCATAACTCTACTACTTCTCGCTACTCTCACCGTTACCTGTTGGTCACTATTGTAATAATCTATTGGCCTCCCTGCTTCTACCTGTGTTCTTGTCCATTCTCACAGTGAAATAATCCTTTTCAAACACAAGTCAATTTATTATCAGTTCTCTACTCAGAACTGCTGGCTTCTTACGTAATTTAGTAATAATCCAGAGCCCTAATTCATAAGGCCCTCAGTGACCTGGCTCTATATGTCTGTGGCCTTATCTCCTTCCCCTCACTCCCTAGCAGCTGGCCTCCTTGCTGTCTCTCAGACTGGTCAGCGCTTTGCATTACACGTGGTTTTCTGTTTGCTTTTCCTCAAGATTTTTGTATGGCTTAGTTCCTCACTTCTTTCAGGTCTTAGCTCGAATGACCCCTCATCAAAGATCTATTCCTTCCCTGACTATTCCATAAAATAGGGCCCCCATTGTCCAGTGGCTGGTAGCTTTATTTGCTTCCATAGCACTTATTAGCACCTGATGTATGCTTGTTTGTTTGGTGTGTATCTTCTTTTACTAGGATATAAGCTCTGTAGACATGCTTATTTTTGTTCACCACTAAGCATTTCTAGTATCTACAGCATACAATAAATATTTATTAAATACTTATTACATAAATAAGTGCAAGGTAAGTTTTAAGTTATGACATCAGTGATTAGAAAAAGTAAGGGGTTGAAATAAAGCAAGGAGCAAGGGATATTCCTATTTTAGATACGTTGAGTTTGAGATGACAATGTTAATATACAGCTGGTAGTTGAAAATGTGGAACTGGAATTGGAGTTATAAGGTTAAGGTCATTGACATGGGGATTCAATATTCTGCTCTGATAATTGTTGTCCATGTACATATACTTAGACCAATTACCCAACTTCTCCAGACCTCAGTTTCTGTAACATGTAAGCAACAATATATCCCCACAGGTCAGCAAGAGGATTGAGACAGGTTAAATTTGGCAAAGTGGAGGCTGTTGTTCTTATTTGGATTGTTTGGAAGCCTCTGTTGGAGGTGATGGTTGAAGCCATAGCAGTTGGTGAGCTCTCTAGGGCTAGGATATAGAAAGAAACATTCCACAATTATATTTAGGGTGGGAAAATGAGGAGGAGCCAACAAGGATACCAAGAACAGTAAGTAAGATGGAAATTGTCTTATTAAGGTATCTTAAAAAAAAAGATTTATTTACTGATCGATTTGAGAGATGAAGGTAGGGAGAAAGAGAGGGAGAGAAACATCAGTGTGTGGTTGCCTCTTGTGCGCCCCCCACCAGGAACCTGTCCTGCAACCCTTTGGTTTGCAGGCTGGCACTCAATCCACTGAGCCACAGCAGCCAGGGCTGTTTTTTGTTTTTTTCCTAAAACAAAAGGTCATGAAATATTTTAATGACATTTTAAGAATTGTTTTGGGGTGTCCCCTAACATTGCATTTATTTATTTATTTCTACATATTTCTGGTAGATCTTTTCTCCACAATTATTCTGTAGAGAGCCCTGAGGGAAGAGACTATGTTATTTATGTTTGTTTTCTCTTGTTCTTTTTTACTCATTCCTGCTGAGCCCCCACTTATTTTGCCTGTTTATTTTGTTTATTAGAATCCACATATGAGTGAAATCATATGGTACTTGTCTTTCTCTCATTGGCTTATTTCACTTAGCATAATGTTCTCCAGGTCCAGTCATGCTGTCACAAAGGGGTTAAGCTTTATGGCTGAGTAGTATTCCATTGTATAAATGTACCACAGCTTTTTTTATTCACTCATCTATTGATGGACACTGGGACTGCTTCCACATCTTGGCTATTGTAAATAATGCTGCAGTTAACATAAGGGTGCATACATTCTTTCAAATTAGTGTTTCAGATTTGTTTGGATAATTCCCAAAAGTGGAAGTGCTGGGTCATAATGTTATAGAACAGAGATCTAAGGGGGGGCAATATTTGGCCCACCCAGGGATGCCAAAAACCATTAGAGAAAACAAGGGCCCCTCCCAAGGACCGTATACTAATACCTACTGGGCTCCTCTGTCTGCCACCAGAGGAAAGACATGGCTCAATGCCAGAGATTTATGAAAAGGAAAGGTTTATTTAAAGCTATACAGACTTAAAGTAGTGACCCAATGTCCCCATTAATATATCAAAGTCCTTTAGGATAACCACAGACACCCACACCACTTCCTTCCCCCCTGCCCTAATTCAGGGTACCATATCTCAGGAAAAGAAGTACACATCCGTGTTTCAGGCCACTGACACCGTCAGCTGTGTTGTTGTCCAGGCACAATCTCCAATTCAGAGTCTTGTGGCACCATCTCACCGTCCACTAGCAAGAGTTCTTTCACCCTTCTTCCAGGCAAAGTCTGTCTTGCTTTCCAGGCCACGAGGGTCTCTTCTACCAGAGCTGCAGGGGTCTGCACTCTGGCCAAAACCACATGGTTCTTTTCTTCACAGGGCTGTGGACAGGGTAGGTTTGCCACTCTGGCAAAGCAGAGTGGTGGTTCTCTGCTAAAGCCGCATGGCTCTCTCCTTACATGGCTGTGGGGGTCCCCACTCTGGCCGAAAGCGCGTGGTTCTCCCTTTCACATGGCCAAGAGAAGGTCCTCACTCTGCCAAAACCGTGTGGCTCTCTCCCTCAATGGCTGCCAAGTTTAAATCCCCGTGGCAGCCTTCCTCTGCAGCCCCATTTCTGACTCCTCCCACAGTCAGCTACACCTGCCAGGACTCCCGTATCCTCCCAGCTTTACTGGGCTGCCATAGTGAGTCTGGGCAGGCGTGGCCCCATGGAGTGGAGCCAGTCATCTTCAAGCTCTCAAGGAGGCGCTGCAATCAGGGGGTGTTGCCTACCAATTACATCCTGGGTGGAAATCACTCCCTTCTCTCTGGCTCAAAGCATGGCCACAACTATTTAACATATCTATGAGACCAGGTAAAGGTTATAGGTATGTTAAATAACCATTCTAGAGGTTATCTGCAAAACTGTTGCTATGCAAAACAACTCTCAATGGCCCTGCTCCATTTGTCCCTTCCCCCAGCTGACACCTGTGGGGGGGCGGTAAGGGGTGAGGACATCTTATGTGTCTTTCAAATATTTCCTGGACATGCTGAGGTCTCGACCCCATTCCAAATCCCTTTTTTGGGGGCCCTCCTCTTGGCTGCACCCTGTTACAGTGAGGCAGTTCTATTTTTAATTTTTTTGAGGTAGTAAGGTGTCTTTCGATTATAAGAAGTAGAACTCCACTGAAGCCAAATGAAATACAGGGACATTTATTACTTGGAGCAGGGGTGTCAAACTCATTTTTATGGGGGCCCACATCAGCCTTGCAGTTGCCTTCAAAGGGCTGAAATAATTTTAGGACTGTATAAATACAACTGCTCCTTAACTGTTAAGGAGTTGATATTACATTCAGCCATTTGAAGGCAATCATGATGCTGGTGTGGCCCTGCGTGAAAATGAGTTTGACACCCCTGACTTAGAGGCTTTTATGTCATTCAGTGATTTGGAAATACAGACAGGTGTGGGAGGGATGGGGACTTGGAAACAGAACAGAGGTCTTTCTGTGTACATGCTCTCTGGGACCACGTAGATGCTGCATTATTGCCACCTTGTGTTTCCCTGCAGACTATCCCTGGTTGTTCATTAGTGCATGTGGCCCCAATATGAGTAAGCTCCACCCACTAGTGAGGTGAAGTTAGCTTATACTGGCTTGTGAGAGCTGATTGTTAGCATTGAAATCAGCTTTTGGAGTATTTGCACTAAGAAAGTTGGCAAATGCTACCAAGCAGTCCCCTTGCAAAAGCCAGCTACTAAATATTTACTAGCACTTTATTGCCTCCACTTCAAGTCTATGTTCCATTCCAATTCTGGGGACTTCTACCCCATCTTTGAGTCTCTTAATTTAAATTTTTGAGTGAGAGGAATAGATAGTCTGATCAGCCTAATTTTTACTCCTTGCACTGGTATATTAGAGCTGACTTATGAGAGCCTATTTTGCACATTTCTTCCCAACTCTACATTTAGGAACATCGTGTTGGTATCATGAAATTTTCTATTGGGGTACTTACACTATGGGAATTGGCAAATGCTACAACCCAGGGCACCTCTTTTTGAGAGCTTGTAGTTGAACATTCACTTGTACACCACTTGTTCTCAGGTGGCCGGGTAATGGTAGGGTAACCTTTCCAAGTTGTAGGCAGGGAAGTTCTTTAACTAATGGAAGTGGGTGAAGTGGAAAAGATTGACATTTCCAGTAGGAGAACAAGAGTACAAAGTAGTGAAGTTTCTAGTAGACCAGCAATAGTGCATTGTTTCAAAGAGGTCAAGTGAAGTAGGACTGAGAGCAGACAGCCTGTATAGTTGGTGATTAGATTGTTAATGATCTTTATAAATAGTTTTCATAGAGCAGTGAAAATGGAAATTGGGGAGAAAGACATTAGTGGGACATGGAATTATGGGTGTCAAACAGAATATCTAGAAGATGATTAAAGGAGATTTTTGAAGATTGGGTGAAGATTGGATTTTTGAAGATCTGTTTCAAGGTGAGGGCAGAGACACTGAAGACAGACTGAAGATTGGTAGAGATGGTGGTGGAGGGAGCTGGATCCTGGAGAAAAGAACATAGTGGAAGGTGTTAGTTTGGGAAAGAAATATAGTACTCATCCCTCTTTGAAGGAAAAGAGGGTAAGTGAAACAGTGAAAAAAACCCACTTAGTGTCCCCTTGCTCCCCAAGTATTAGTGTTTAAATCTACCTTTTTTAATCTCTGAATAAACAACTAAAAGTCAGGAAAACCAATGCAAATCTTCTGTGGCACAAGAGTGGGGAATAGCTCAGAGCATATTATGCTTTGGAAAAGGCAATACATATGCCTTAACCCAGTAGAGGAAATCAAGGATATTGATTATTCACACCTGTGTTCTCTAATTTACTAAATATAGTTAAATATGTTAAGTATAAGGTTGGCTTCATATGTTTAAGTCTTTGTAATTTAATATGTGTTATCAAAGGTATCTGTGCACAATACTGGTTTGATGCAGAAAAATACCCTTACGAAGCTAAAAATTAATCTGTAACTATCACATTCTCTTTTAGAAACTTTAGCATTTGTTTTATTGTTACTGGATTTTTGTTTGTTTGTTTTTATAACATTGGATCAGCTTTAATTATTTTATTGCAGGAAACTGTTGGAAAGTTTTTCCAAGCAGACATAGCAGAAAATACTTTGGTAAGTAGCTTTTTAACACTGGTTTTTGATCTCCTGGTTTGATTTTTAGTTCTTTATTTCTTTTAAAATGGAAATAGCGTTTTCCTGAGTGTAATTAATAACAGCTGGAAAAGAATTAACAATCTAGGAAATACAAGGGAAAATCACATCTAGTCCTGCCACTCAAAGGTACCCACTGGTAGCATTCTGGTCTCCTCCCTTGTAGATGTTTAACTACCTCATAAAGTTTCACACCCATGGTGTTATGCTGATGTACCATGTTTTTCACAGACTATCACTCTTTTTATATATCAGTGCATGACATATAAAGACATACATACACCATTGTTTTAAATGGCTATATAGTGTTCCAGTATGTGAATATTCCATGGTTTATTTAGCTAAATTTGAATTGAAGGACAGTTATAGTTCCAATTTCTCAATGACTAGTACTGTGGTAAATGTAATCATATAAAGCAACTTTGTGTGTCTTATTTATCTTCTCTTTAGGAATAAATTCTTAATACTCAAATGTACGGATTCCAGACTGACCTTAGGTTGAATAACTGTATCGATGCAGTTATTAATAACTGTATTAATAACTCTTTTCTCCTCTATGGCAACATTGAGCCACTTGTGTTTGTCAATATGATGGCAGAAAGTAGAATCTCGTTATTTTTACTTGCATTTCTTTGATTGCTAGTACAACCAAATATCTGTTGATGTCTTTTGGCTAGTGATATTTGGCTATTGGTATTTTTTGATTTGTGAAATTTTATAATTTTGTGATGTGTCTGTATCTTGTCCTTTATCTCCTTTTACCTAAGTGGTTTTTATTCTAGCTTATTTTTTAGGGATGTTAACCTTTTATCATATATGTTGTAAATACTTTCCCAAGTATGCTGTTTACATTATTTATTGCTGTTTAGAAGTTTGATTAGTTTATCAAATATGTCAATTTTTTTCCTTATAGTTTCTGGCTTTTGAGTCATGATTACTTGGGCATTTTCATCAAAGAGTATAAAAATGTTCACCAATATTTTCACCTAGTACTTTTATGGCTTCAGTTATTCCACTTAAACTTTTAGCTTTATGAGATATGTATTCATGCGAGATAGCTGTTCTATTTATGTTTTGCTACCCAGCTAGCCATTTTTTTTTCTGCTGGTCTTAAGCGTAATTTAAGAAATATTTTTTTAGAGCCTTCTTTGTGACTCCATTTCTTTGGGAAGGGATAGAAACTGCGAAGTAAATATATTATGACTTAAGTTTAACAAACAGTGATTGAGTATAATTGAGATTTTATAAATGTGTTTTTGAACTTCTGTTTTTTAACCATTAGAAAAATACCTTAGAAACGGAAATTCCTACTGTCACTGTTTTAGCTGATGAAGAATTCCTTCCTTTCAGAGAAAATACATTTGACCTGGTGGTTAGCAGTTTAAGGTTGGTAATCCATTTGTACTTTTAAAAAATAGATGTTATAAATAAAATAGGTAATGGAGTAAAATCTTAATGCTGTTTCTTTTAAAGTCACAACCCAGGTGTTTCGTTGTTGTTGTTTTATAAACTCTAAGATTTTTCTGGTAAAGGACTGTGCCTATATGCTCTCTAGAAGAGATAATATGATATAGTACCCAAACTTTTTTTCCATAATCTCCCTCCACCTGCTAAAGCTTATCTGTGATAGAAGGGTTTTTCTTCCCAATGTAACTTTAGTATTCTGGAATTAATATTGATGAGAGCACTAGTTTGAAAGAGTACACTAATTCCAATATTCAAATGTTAGAGCACCTTTATAAGTAAATGTTAGAGTAACATTCTAATAAATAAGGAAAAGCTGGCATTTCCTTCAACTTTAATTCTTTTGCTTCACAAAAATAGACTCCTTAAGGTTACCTTTTCCCCTTTATTCTTTCTACCATGACTTCCCACACTTATTATATGAACATGTAAAACAGATATTTATTGAATAAATTATAATATGCAAGGCAATGAGCTAGGTTCTTTGGGTGAATACAGACATAAGTTCACTCTGTCCTCAAAGAGCTTAGTGTCTAATAGAGAAAATAAAATAGCCTGTGTGGTACCTTAGTTCTTCTGCCTTATCATTGTGGTCAGATTTTCTTTCAAAGATTCAACATGCTCAATACAACCCTTTTGATAGCTGTTTTTAGGATGACCAGTCATAATGGTTTGCCCATGACTTTGCCAAAGTTACTACTAGAAGGCTTATGTCCTAGAACACTCCTCAGTCCTGGGCAGTCAGAGAGTTGCTTGTGTTTCCTGTTTTCTTCAGTAAGTTTGTAACTTCTTCCCTGCTTTTTGAGGTGTACTGAGAAAACTTTAAGAAGTATTCAGATTCTATTGCTGAACAAATTTTGAAAAGTATTTAAAATCTGTCATGAAATTAGAAACATTGCAGAGCCTTTGGTCTAAGGGAAAGAACTCTGGGCAGAGAGTCAGAATCCAAGTTTTAACGTTAGCTTGCTTGCTATTAGCAAGTGACTAACTTTCTTGCTTTCAGTTTCCCCACAATAGAGCTTATAACATGACATCCTTAATTTTTAAAGTATCTAGTAATATAGTTAGATAGTATTAATGAAACATAAATGTGAGCCTAACACAGTATGGTTTGCAGTACTGTCTTGGAAGTCAGCATAAAATGATGCCAACTCCACTAAGAAAGTATGAATATTTTACAGAGGCTGTGATTTTTGCTGTCACATATCACTATAAGCTGGGGGAAGATAAAAAGGGTCAAAAGACGATGCAAGGGTTTCTTCAACTAACTTTGCAGTGTATAGAGCTCTGGATTTGTCTATTTTTATTTGATGATCTCAAAACACATGGGGTGTTATTTACAGAAAACTCACTGAGTTAGTTTTTTGATAACTAGTACTGTTTACCTTGGGAAAATTACAGGCTTTCTTCTGAATTTTGTTTTTTTTTTGTTTTTTTGTTTTGTTTTGTTTTTTGTGTTTTTTTTGTTTCTAGAATACTATATGTAGCTTAATTGCTTGATTTAATTGAACTTTTTTGAACATGTCATTGAGTGGTTATTTTTACTATTTTCTTCAATTAAGTTTTCAGAATAGCACTAAAGATGAGATGCTGGATAGGAATGACTTTCACTTTATTTTTCTCCAGCTTTATTGAATAATTATTGATATATAAAATAAGGTATACAGTATAGTGATCAGATGCATGTGTGTATTGCAAAATGATTATCACAGTAAGGCTGGTTAACATCTTCATCTCTTCACATTATTATGATTTTTGTGTGTGTGGTGATAACATTTAAGATTTACTCTCAAAAGCCTTGAAGTGTATAATACAGTATTGTTAATTATAGTCCCCATTCTGTGCATTAGATCCCCAAATCTTACTCATTTTATACGTCAGAGGTTGTATCCCTCAATCCCCTGCCCCTGATAAACCACCATTCTACTCTGTTTGGCTTTTTAGAGATTCTTTATGTAGGTGAGAACATACAGTATAGTATTTCTTTCTTTGTCTGACTTATTTCACTTAGCACAAACTGCTGATTTTAGTAGTTGTTGTTATTCCTTTTTCTTCCGCTTTCCTGTAGCCGTATTGATTTCTCTCCTTCCTCTGATCACTTCACTTCCTCTTCAGAAGTGGACTGCCCTCGAGGCCTTTCCATATTGTCCCCAAAATAGGGTTTCCCTCTTTCTGTTGATGAGTAATATTCTTGTGTGTGTGAGTAACATTTTCTTTATCCATTCATCCATTGATGGACACATAGTTTGGTTATTGTGAATAATGCTACACTGAAGATGGGGCTGCAGATATCTCTTTGGAATAAAACATTTTTTATTTCTTTCAGATATATACCCAGAAGGAATTGCTGGGTTATAAGGTAGTTCAATTTTTTTGAGAAACCTCCATACTCTTTCTCCAGTTTACATTCCCACCAACAGTGTATACCTTTTTTTGTGGCTTATCATTACATTATTGATGCTTATTAATTATATGAATTAAGCCAGAACAAATGTGTATTTTCATATTTTAGTTTGCACTGGGTGAATGACCTTCCTGGAGCACTTGAACAGGTAAGAAATTTAATGTTGGTTCTCATAGCCTGTGTTATTTTATTTATTATTAGAAACTTTTAGATGTTTCTCTTTTCACATGGAAACTTACAGATGTTTTCTTTTTTATATTTCTGACAAGTGGAAGTTGAAGTAAATCAAGTAAGAATTTATTAGGTTCTATGGGCTGGCTATACTTGGTGCTCTTTGACATGTTAAATATATTGGGAGGTTGTCTCACTGGCAATTCAGAAAATCTTTTTATGGGGATGTTTAAATATTTATGAAAACTTTAGTAAAACTTCTATAAGATAATATTGATATTGTAAGACATTTTTTGAGTGGGTGGTTTTTTCTCTTAATTGTCTATAAATTTCTTCTGGATAGGAACTTATTTGTTTATATTTATATCTTCCTCATGCCTTATATTTACTTATTTAATTATTGTTCAAGTACAGTTTTCTGTCTTTTACTCTCATCCCAGCCCACTGCCCCAGTGCTACTCACTTCCCTCCCATTTCCACCCCCCTTAGTTTTTGTCCATGTGTCCTTTATACTTGTTCCTATAAACCCTTCCCCTTTTGCCCTGAAATTCCTTCCCCTCTCTCTTCTGGTCACTGTCAGCCTGTTCTCTATTTCAGTGTCTTTGGTTATATTTTGCTTGCTTGTTTGTTTTGTTGTTTAGCTTCCCCTTAAAGGTGAGATCATATGGTATTTGTCTTTCAACACCTGGCTTATTTTACTCAGCATAATGCTTTCCAGTTCCATCCATGCTGTTGCAAAGGGTAGGAGCTCCTTCTTTCTTTCTGCTGCTTAGAATTCCATTGTGTAAATGTACCATAGTTTTTGGATCCATTCATGTACTGACGGGAACCTAGGTTGCTTCCAAAACTTGGCTGTTATAAATTGTGCTGCTATGAACATTGGGGTGCACAGGTTCTTTTTGATTGGTGTTTCAGAGTTCTTAGGATATAATCCTACAGCGGAATTACTGGGTCAAAAGACAGTTTCATTTTTAGTTCGAGGAGAAAATTCCGTACTGTTTTCCATAGTGGTTGTACCAGTCTGCAATCCCACCAACAGTGCACTAGGGTCACCTTTTCTCCACAACCTCTCCAGCACTTGTTTGTTGCTTTGTTTGTGATGGCCATTCTGACCTGTGTAAAGTGGTATCTCCTTGTGGTTTTAATTTGCATCTCTCTGATAGTTAGTGATACTGAGCATCTTTTCATGTGTCTCTGGATCCTCTGTGTGTCCTCCTTGGAGAAATGTCTGTTTAAGTTCTTCGCCCACTTTTGAATTGGGTTCCTTGTCTTCTTAGAGTGGAGTTGTGTAAGTTCTTCGTATATTTTGGAGATTAAACCCTTGTCTGAAGTATCATTGGCAAATATGTTTTCCCATGTGGTTGGTTGTCTTTTTATTTTAATACTGTTTTCTTTAGCTGTGCAAAAGCTTTTTATTTTGATGAGATCCCATTTGTTTATTCTTTCCTTTATGTCCCTTGCTCTAGGGGACAGATAGTAAAAATGTTGCTGCATGAAATGTCTGAGATTTTCCTGCCTGTGTTCTCCTCTAGGACTTTACTGGTTTCATGGCTTATATTTAAATCTTTTACCCATCTTGAATTTATTTTTGTGTATGGTGTAAGTTGGTGCTCAAGTTTCAATTTTTTGCATGTAGCTGTCCAGTTCTCCCAACACCATTTGTTGAAGAGGGTATTTTTACTTCATTTTATGTGGCTGCCCCCTTTGTTGAATATTAATTGTCCATAGAGACATGGGTTTATTTCTGGGCTCTCTGTTTTGTTCTACTGGTCCATGTGCCTGTGTTTATGCCAGTACCAGGCTGTTTTGATTACAGTGACCTTGTAATATAGTTCGGTATCAGGTATTGTGATCCCTCCTACTTTGTTCTTCTTTCTCAAAATTGCAGCAGCTATTTGGGGTCATTTATGGTTCCATATAAATTTTTGAAGTGGTTGTTCTATGTCTGTGAAATATGCCATTGTTACTTTAATAGGGATTGCATTGAATCTGTAAATTGCTTTGGTTGGTATGTTCATTTTGATGATGTTAATTCTTCCAATTCATGAACATGGTATATGTTTTTATTTGTTTGTGTCTTCCTTGATTTATTTTTCAGTGTTGTGTAGTTTTCTGCATACAGGTCTTTTACCTCCTTGGTTAGGTTTATTCCCAGATATTTTATTTTTGTTTTTGCTATATTGAATGAGATTTTTTTCTTGATTTCTGCTTCTGCTGTTTCATTGTTAGTATACAAAAATGCCTTTGATTTCTGGATATTGACTTTGTATCCCACTATTCTGCCAAATTCATTTATTAGGTTGAGCGGTTTTGGGGTGGAGTCTGTAGGATTTTCTGTGTACACTATCATGTCATCTGCAAACAATGACAGTTTTGTTTCCTCCTTTCTGATTTGGATGTCTTTTATTTCCTTTTCTTGTCTGATCGCTGTGGCTTAAACTTCCAATACTATATTGAATAGAAGTGATGAAAGTGGACAACCTTGTCTTGTTCCTGATCTTAGTGGAAAAGATTTTAGTTTTTGCCCATTGAGTATGATGTTGGCTATAGGTCTCTTATATATGGCCTTTATTATGTTTAGGAGTACTCTCTCTACTCCCACTTTGTTGAATGTTTTTATCATAAATGGGTGCTGTACCTTATCAAATGCTTTTTCCGCATCTATTGATGGGATCATGTGATTTTTGTCTTTGCTTTTGTTTATATGATATATTACATTCACTGATTTGTAAATTGAACCACCCTTGCATCCCTGGGATGAATCCCACTTGGTCATGGTGTGTTATCTTTTTAATGTATTGTTGGATGCAGTTTGCCAATATTTTGTTGAGGATTTTAGTGTCTGTGTTCATCAGTGATATTGGCCTGAAGTTTCCTTTCTTTGTTGTGTCTTTATCTGTTTTGGGGATTAGGCTGATGCTGGCTTCATAAAAAGCATTTGGGAGTCTTCCTTTTCTTGGATTTTTTGGAATAGTCTGTGAAGGATATGGGTTAGCTCTTCCTTAAATGCTTTGTAGAATTCTTCTGTGAAACCATCCGGTCCAGGGCTTTTGTGTGTCAGTAGTTTTTTCATTACTGCTTCAATTTTATCTGCTGTCACTGGTCTGTTCAGGCTTTCTGCTTCTTCGTCTTTCGGTTTTGGAAGATTTTTTTTTTCTAGAAATTTCTCCATTTCACCTAGGTTTTCAAATTTCTTGGCATACAATTCTTCATACTAATTTCTTATAATCCTTTGTATTTCTGTGGTGTCAGTTGTAATCTCTTCTCTTTCAGTTCTGATTATGTTTGGGTTCTCTCTCTATTTTTCTTGATGAGCGTACTTAAAGGCTTATCAGTTTCGTTTATCTCTTTAATAAAACCAGCTCCTGGATTTATTGATCCTTAGAATTGTGCGTTTAATCTCTGTGTCATTTAGTTCTGCTCTGATCTTGGTTATTTCCTTCCTTCTACTTGCTCTGGGCTGTTTTTGTTGTTGTTCATTGAGTTCTTGCAGGCGTAGGGTTAGGTTGTTCGTTTGAGATGTTTCTATCTTCTTTAGGTAGGCCTGTATTGCTGTGAACTTCCCTCTTGGGACTGCCTTTGCTGTGTCCCATAAGTTTTGGTTTGTTGGGAGTTCATTTTCATTTGTTTCCAGAAACTTTTTAATAAAGATTTTATATATTTATCTTTAAAGGGGAAGGAAAGGAGAAAGGGAGAGAAATAGCAATGTGTGGTTGCCTTTAGTGCATCCCCTGCTGGGAACTGGCCTGCAACCCAGCTATGTGGCCTGACCAGGAATTGAACCTCGATCCTTTGGTTCACAGCCCTGTGCCAAATCCACTGAGCTACACCAGCCAGGGCTATTTCCAGAAACTTTTTGATTTATTCCCGCATTTCATTCCTGACCCATTCATTGTTTAATAGCATGCTATTCAATCTCCATGATTTTGAGTGTTTTGGGCTTTTTCCCTTGGGTTGGTTTCTATTTTGAATCCCTTGTGGTTGGAGAAAATGCTTGGTATGATTTCAATTTTCTTGAATTTGTTGAGGCTTGTTTTGTGTCCTATCATGTGGTCTATCTGAAAACGTTCCATGTGCATTTGAAAAGAATGTGTATTTAGCTTCTTTGGGATGAAGGGCTCTATATGTATCAGTTAATCAGTTAAGTCCATTTCATCCAGGGCATTGTTCAATGCCACAATATCTTTGTTGATATTTTGTTTGGAAGATCTGCCCATTTTTGACAATGGGGTGTTAAAACCCCCTACTATAATTATGTTGGTGTCAATATCTTTCTTGAAGTCCTCTAAGATTTTGTTTATGTATTTGGGTGCCCCTATGTTAGATGCATATATATTTATAATGTTTATGTCTTCTTGGTGGATTCTTCCCTTGAGTATTATGAAGTGAACCTTTGGGTCTCTCTTTTTGGCCCTTTTTTTGAAGTCTATTTTGTCCGATATGAGAATTGCTACCCCAGCTTTTTTTTCTTGTCCGTTTGCTTGGAAAACTTGTTTCCAGCCTTTCATTTTTAGTCCGTGATGGTCTTTTGTCCTGAGGTGGGTCTCTTGTAGGCAGCATATGTGTGAGTCATGCTTTCTTATCCATTGATCTATTCCGTGTTTTTTGATTGGAGCATTTAATCCATTTACTTTTAAGGTTATTATTGATAGGTACTTATTCATTGCCATTTTTGTACCTGTGTTCCTCTCTGTCTCCCTCTTTTCCTTCCTTCCCTTAAAGCAGTCCTTTTAGTATTTCTTGTAGAGCTGGTTTAGTGGAGGCATATTCTTTTAGACTTCTTCTGTCTTGGAAGCTCTTTATTTGGTCTTCTATCTCGATTAAGAGCCTTGTTGGGTAAAGTAGCCTTGGCTGCAGGTCTTTGGTTCATATTACTTGGAATATTTCTTATTATTCTCTTCTAGGTTGGAGTGTTCCCATTGAGAAGTCTGCTGCTAACCTTATCACGGCTCCCTTCTATGTTACTTCCTGTTTCTC